TAGTTGTTACAAAGGAGTGAGGTTAGTATACTTAAAATGGAAAAATTGTTACTTTGCCCATGTTTTGTTGACCTGTTACAAATGTTTATCAGCCAAAAATAGTTGGGGCCACAGGTCTCTGCTACTGTTATTTTGTGGGTCAAAAGCTGAAAGGTTTGGGAACCACTGCTCTAGGTTATTCCATAGTCTTATACCTTTTACTGAAGTGCATCTGTCCTTCAAATTTGTTCTGATTTTCGGTTTAACAAACATTTGTAGTCTCTTCAAATTATAGCAGCTTTCCCTCTTAACAAAATGTGATTGGATGTTTGACGGCAACACATTTCTATGAGCCTTATACATAACCTGCAGAATAATCAACCAACTCGTGAAATTTTAACAATTTTAATTGATGAAACAATATGTTAGATGGGTGATAGTAATGCTTTCTTGTAATAGTTCTTATGGCTCTTTTTTGTAAGATCAAAAATACAGTAGATTAGTAATGGTTTTGCATGCTTTTCCCCAGACTTCTATACAATAAAACAAATGTGGAACAATTATTGCATAGTGTAAATAGTCCTTTATTATTGAATAATTCCTTAACTTTATTCAGTACTGCAATAGATTTTGCCATTTTTGTTCTTAAGTAATTYATATGATGACTCCATGTCAGTTTTTCATCAAGATGACATCCAAAAACTTTACCTCATTAACTCTACAGATCTCAACACCCTCTACTCTACGTGGAACATCAATTGTTTTCTTTCTATTACTAAATATCATGTAATTTGTTTTATCCAAATTTAATGATAATTCATTATGTTTAAACCAATTTTGTACTTTTACAATTTCCATTTCCACCATTTCCATCATCTGTTCAATGTTGTTACCCAAGCAAAAAAATGTGGTGTCGTCTGCAAACAAAACACATTTAAACAACCCTGATACATTTACCAAGTCATTAATATATAGGAGAAACAACTTTGGTCCCAGTGTAGAACCCTGTGGAACCCCACATTCAATATTAAAAAGTTCAGATCTTACACCATTAATTACAAACTGTTTCCTATTGGTTAATAACTTGATACCCACTGTAGTGCTGGACCTCTTATACCATATTTGTTTAATTTTTCCAGAAGGATACTGTGGTCAGTGGTATCAAATGCTTTTTTTAAATCAACGAAAACACGGACACAGTATCGTTTTTGATCCACAGCTGTTGATATTTGTTCAATTAAGTCCATGAGAGCCATTGATGTTGAGTTATTAGCTCTAAAACCATATTGATTTTTACTTRAAATATTTTTGTTTATCAATGAACTGATCTAATCTGATTACAAACAACTTGTACAAAATTTTTGAAAACTGAGGTAACAATGATATTGGTCTATAGTTTGTAAACACGTTTCTCACCACCCTTGWAGAGAGGGATTACTTTGGCTATTTTCATGTTGTCGGGAAATATTCCAGTTGACAATGATAGATTACAGATACTATACACTCTCCGGCCACTTTATTAGGTACACCACGCTAGTAACGGGTTGGACCCCCTTTTGCCTTCAGAACTG